ATATATATATATATATATAAAAATATGGAGACGATGGTAAATTAAAATACAGACATCATTTTGTATGGGCCACTATGTTTGTATCATATTGACTTTTTTATTGGGAATGCACCAAGAAACCGTTTATTAATAAATAATTAAGATGTAAGGAGGGTGTATCATATTGATTTTTGTTATTGGGAATGCACCAAGAAACCGTTGAATTCCTAATAAAAGCTCCAGTGGCTACCCTGTAAGTTGATTGTAAAAAGTATTTTTAGACGGAAACAACTGACATTACAATAATTAATATTTATCTTTTACCTGGAGCTGAACAGTCCCATTCATCATCACCTTTCTGACAATCGTTTATACCATCACATATCAAGTTTCTTGAAATACAACCACCTCTGATGCAGACATGATCACATTCAACTGTGGTTACAAAATGACAAATGATTACAGAATGCTTGATAATTATGGTTGAAAAAAATACTGTACACAGTAGTATTATTATTATTTTAACTTCGATAATATGAGCTTAATTAGGCATGTGTAAAGACACAAAAATCCATGTTTGTTTTAAACAAAAATGTTCAATCACTCACCGCCACTAAGTATATCATTTATCAGTTCGGTGTAGCTGGATACTCTTGTAAAACCACCAACGTCAGAAGCACACGGGTTTTTAGTGAAACTAGTAACACCAGCAACAAACCATATACCATCACGTTTACACATCAGAGGCCCACCACTATCACCCTGAAAACACAATTTGAAGGACAAATGTACAAAATGGAATGTATGTTGACAAACTGAGCCACATGTATGTATACATACTATACAATGATTTCGAAAAAAACACAAAAATTCCATTACGTAAGGCAAAGTTCAGTGGCACAATGACAATGGTTTAAATTTTTTAAATGGTGAAATTAATGTATGATTAAAGCATTGTTCCATGTTGTAAAATAATGGAAATCATTTATAGGAAAATAACAATGATTTTTTGTTGAATAACGGTATATAACCACTGAAGGCTGTTTTACATGTACAGGAAGTGGGTTCTATAGAATAGTATATGCATGTGAAAGTAATTGTCTACTTTGTAGGCGCCTATAAGAAGTTTTTATTTATGCACACGAGAAGATTTAAAGATTACAAGAGGTTCATGAGGCCTGAGGTCATGTATAACTTTACGGTCTCCACATCACTTCGGGTCAATAGATTTCACCATTTCCCTCATGAGCAGTCAACTATAATATAGTATAATATTACATCCACTGAACTATTTGTAAAGGCCCAAAACTAAGGACAAAGCATATTGATGGCCATGACTACCATAAATTGTAACGCTTAAAGTAGCATAGTTTGCAATTTATTTTCGTTAATTTTATAAATAAAGTGTAAATACACATGATCAACTAATGGATTTATTTACATCATACCTTAATTCAATAACTAAATATACAATAGGCTTAAATTATAACTTCTAACAAATTTTATGGTTAAAGCTTATGTGATACTGGTCTATGACGTAAATACAAAAATACTTTGTTTGAGTTTTTTCCCTTTTTTTGTAGTTTTTACTGTGTTTTTAGGATTGGATTGGATAGGATTTATTCGGTGTAAACACCAAGGATAGCCCACGAAAGTCTAGAAGAAGACTTATTTCCTATGGGGTCCTTCTGGTGGTGATTGGGCAGTACACCGGGAGACAATCCCCTACTCTTTTCCGAAGAGTGTACTGCGTTCTTTAACGTGCACATGGGCCATAATGCACATGGGACCAACAGCTTAAACGTCTCATCTGAAAGACGGTGCGCTATTGTAACTTGTATTTCAGCCCTCTAGCTGAAACACAAGGAGAGGCAGCGAAGGGAATTGAACTGGGGACCTAGAGATCTCCATGGTTCAGTGCACACACTGCGGCTATCACCATGTTAGCCGACTGAGCTAGCTGCTCTCTACTACTACTCGCAATTCAATCACGTTTTAATTTTAATGCATTCGATAATAAAAGCACAATGAATGAATGAAATTTTAGGATAATTTTATTTTTTAGCTGAATGATTGTATGTACATTTTTTTTTTGGAAATATTTATAAAAAAACCTACCCTGCATATTCCTTTTTCATCCTCAAATCCTCCAGTGCAAATGGTAGAGTTTGTTATTATTTCTTCAAGTTGAGAGACATTTCTGCATTCTTCTTGGCTGATTATTGGGACTGTAATTTCTTGCATTGTATTTGGAATTGGCCCTGTTGATATTATATATAACAATATTTTAATGTTTAACTTATTAACAAATTTAAAAAAGAAAATATTCAAGGATTATACATAGATATATACATATCACAAGTGATACAACTTTCACACAATGTTCAGCTTATTTACAATCCGTGCAAGATCACAAATTAAGTTGTTCCAATTAACTGTCAGTTTTCCAACGAAGAAAGAAAACTTCTATTCCGAGGACTCAAATTCAGCCTTAAAGAGAGGAGTCTGACCCTTTGGATCAAGAAGATTTCTGATCTTTACTGCTGTTGTATTATTTTTTGCCAATTCCAAAGGCAATACCACCGACTACATGGCCGGGCAATGTTGGCAAATTTAAACTAAACAATACCTAAAATACCCATAAGAATTCTAAGGTTTAGAAACTTTCACTGTCAGGCCGCTGAAGATCATGTTGAAAAAGTATGTTCCTTGTCCAGATTTTTGCAACAATCTCACACAATATATATAATGTATATATGTATGAATGTAAGAAACATTCTACTGCTGAAAGTTGCCATGCATTCACTGTTGTTAGGCAAAATTAAAAAAAAAAAAAAATTTACTAAGAAAATACATTGAACATATAGAATGTGACGATATACTGGCAAGTAATTTTTATGAAAACCCAAGCACTTCTGGAGTTGGATAAGAACCACATACAACATTAAACCAAGGTGGTTGTATACAAACCCAATAACGAAGCTACACTTTTTAACAATACACCTGTCCTTTGTTCCAGCACTAAATTAATTCAACGGCATTCCAAATTTTATTTTAAAATAGTGCATATCTATTTAAATTTGAATTATAAATTATATTTGAACTACACAAAAGTCATTAATATTGGTGTTTTTGTTTCTGCTTCTGCTGAAGCACTATATATAAATATTATGCAAAAACAATGACATGTTATAGTGAGTTTATACAATAAATCTATTTAATTAAATAATATGTTTATACCACAATTGTTATTAGAATATTACCGTATTCATACAGTCGACCCCAACCAGCACTCACACATTCAGTACCGACTGCAAAATCTTCACCAAAGCAAATAGGCTGTATAAATGCACTGTAATTGACTGGTCTTTCTAGCCTCAGAAGGGCAATGTCATTCGCTAACGTATAATAATCATAGTGTGGATGGGGAAGCGCCTCAGCTACGCCAACCTCCTCATAAAAGACTGAAGAATGAAACTCAAGATCTGTGGTGCCGAATCTGATGTAGTCTATTCTTCTACCACTAAGAGAAAAACACATATTTTACAATAAAGTTAAGCATTAGTTCTCCGTCTCTGTTCACACAATTAGAAACAATGATACCATAAGAAAAGCTTATATAGCCATGCGTAAGTTACGTAAAACAAATTGGTTAGAACTATCACACTACAAAAATGTGAATGAAAATATATCAATTGGTCTAGTCGACATCATAAGGATGTTTTTCAAACTGAACAATAAATTATATTAAGGTTTTATAGAGTGACGATTTAGCGAAAAACATATAAAGTACTTATCTAAACCCTTACAGACAATGAGCAGCTGTCAACGCCCATTCATGATCAATTAATACAGCACCACAATAATGAGATCCATATGCTGTGATTGAACCAATCCATGGCCATTTCCCTGGTGGTACATCTTCACCTCCAACAATCCTATCTTCAGCAGGTAAGAAAGGTTGTGATCCACATTTTTCAGAAGTAACTGTTATAAAGAAATAGCTTTTATTTCATTTTCATTCATTTATTTTATTTTTTATAAACATCACAAACCTAGCACTATTTTGGTGGATTGTCACAAAGCAAACAAATTCACTGTGCAAAGACTCTCCAACTAGTACTAGAACAGAAACAAACAGAAACAGGATTTAATTAACATAAAAAGAAGACAAAGCAGAGAAAAAAGCGCAATCACAAAAAAGCAATAAATCGGTAATAGAAGAAGAGATCTCATCCCACATCCGTGGGAATGACATAAAAACGGAGTTTAAAAAAGCATTTATACAGGCCTTAGCATGTCTAAAAACAATTTTCTCAGTTCTACGGGCAATGGGCTTACTCAAGTTAGAGTAAACATAGTGATCGACATTACAGGTTTTAGTCTGATAATGGATGGATTTATTCGGTGTACACCAAGGATAACCCAAAAACGTCTAAATACGACTTATTTCCAGTACACCGGGACACAATCCAATACTATTTTCCACATTTTTCAGAAGCAACTGTTATAAAGAAATAACTTACTCAAGTTAGAGTAAAAATAGTGATCGACATTACAGGTTTTTGTCTGTTAATGGATGAATTTATTCGGTGTAAACACCAAGGATAACCCACAAAAGTCTAAATAGGACTTATTTCCAGTGGGGTCCTTCTAGTGGTGATTGAGCAGTACACCGGGACACAATCCAATACTATTTTCCAAATAGTGATACTGCATTCTTTAACGTGCACATGGGCAACAATGCACAATAGACCAATGGCTTAAACGTCTCATCCAAAAGAGAGTGCGCTATTGTAACTTGTATTTCAGCCCTCCAGCTGAAACACAAGGAAAGCAGCAATATGAATTGAACCGGGGACCGCTTAGAGATGTCCACGCTTCAGTGCACACTCAGTGGCTACCACCAGTTTAGCTGACTAAGCTAACCTGCTCTCACCAATCGTCACATTGGTTGTAAGATTAAGCATAGTATGCCTATGAAAAAAAATGTCAGCACAGTGAAGATATTCCAGATTACCTAAAAAGCCAATTGATAGTTAGAACCGGGCAGGCTGTTTTCAAGGTCAATCAACAAAAACGCCATTAAAATAAGTGTATGTTGATTGGCCTGGATACTGTAGGATACGTGCATGCGCAGTTCAGTCAATAACCATGAATTGGCATATTAAGACTATATAAAATCATTATTGTATTTTTGGGTAACTTGCTATTGGAATTCAGATTAATAACGGCGACGGTTTTAATCCTTATTTAAATACAATATTTATTCATTTGTATATCGTTACATTTTTTTTATAAAAGCTGATAGGCCTACAAGTGCCAGGAACCAAGGAGACACAAGCCTGTAAGGGGACCCCGGACCTAATCTTAAACTACAGTAAAGTCTAGAGCTTATCTCGCGCAAATTAAACACAAACAGATAATGAAAGATAAACAATAGAGTGTAAAAAAAATTAAATAATATTAATAATAATAAAAATAATAATAATAGCAAAGTACAACGATATATATAAATCTTCAAGGTATTTCAGTGTTCCACAAATTCACCTACAAACAACGAAAAAGTGTGGTGTGTGAAACTTTGAGTGTACAATTGAGTAAATACCATCACTTAAAATTGTGAAAATGTAAACAATTACATAGATATATACATTATTATACTATAAAATACAATACAATTTTAATTTAAAAAATTATTTTTTGACGTTTAAAAAAATCTGCTGGCGCTTAGTCACATTAAACACACCAATCCCTCTCTGCGAATTACTCTTACCATTCCAGCAGCCTTGTTCATCTGACCAATCGAGACAGTTATTTTCTCGGTCACATCGTTTTGCAGCGGCAATACAGACACCATTCGCACACTGAAAACTGTCGTCACTACAAGCTGTAAACAAACAATCATTGTTTTATAATGCAATTAAAGTTTATTGATAATACAGTGTCATGTTTATATTTCGTTTAGCGTTATGGTAGAATTGGTAGAACGCGTACAGATAGCATATAGAGATGAGATGAGGGTTATAACAGGGAGGCCTACTGGTAGGGTGAGCTCTTATTTAGTCAAATGAGTATTTTATATTTAAAAATAACAAATTGTTGTTTGGTATACAAATGAAGATTATACAGTAATTAAGATATTAAAGACAATTTTACAAAATAAGTGAAATAATTCCTATATTAAAAAATACAAATTAATCAATGGCTCATTTGCTTTAGTTGTAAACTTATTGTGTTTGAAATACTTAACAATATAAAGATATGCAAACACTCTGATTTAGGAAGATTCTGCGCATTATACCCAAATACTACAAATTGGAGTTCCTGCATATTCTATGCAAAAACTCAAAATTTGTAGATTGCACCCCAGCATTTGTGTACAATGTTTATTTATTTCCATAATTACGGCAAGACTGTAGCTCGTCACTGAAGTCAGCACAATCAATGATTCCATCACACACTTGTTCCAATAGTATAAATTCAAAATCACCACATACAAAAATATCTATAAAAAAACAAAAAAAACAAAAAAAAACAATATACTATTAGGATATGCTTAGAATTTATCACATATCAAAAAAATATTCGGGCTGTGAATCGAAGATAATACAACCATTACAAACATCAGTAGTCATTTATTGTTTCATAATTGTTAAGAAGTTATAAAACATACATTTTTATGTGACAACATCCATCACAATAAAGAGATGATTGCCATAATTTTGAAATCACCTCCATCAAAGAGTTTACTGCCATTCATCTTAGGGAAGGTTTTGTAATTTTGTAATGGAAACACATAGCACTTTACACTGCCTTTGTACTGTATATTGCGTCTATTTAGTACATCATTGCATTTGACATTGTTATAAATACAATCAATTGTTATTTTTTAGATTAAGATGTTGAAGTAAAGCATTGTTAAACAATCGATTGACAAAAAACAGCATAAATTGTAAATATAGGAATGGTATATGGGCAATTTCATAATGCAGAGTGATTTTTTGTAATTTTTCATACTTATCAAATCCCATCAAGTTTGTTATCAAACTAAAGCTCATTTTATATAGAATTAAGATCTAAAATCAATATTTTGGTATTTCAATGGTAAAATGTGAAAAAAATGATCCAAATACATAGTATTTTTAAATTTTAAAATATAGTAAAAAATAGCTTTCTTAAATGCAATTATTATGCAGAATGTATATGTTGGAAAATTCTAAATTCATGTTATTTTACAAAAGAATAGGTACTATTATCATTTTTAAAGGTGAAAATTATAATTTTTAAATAATAAATAATTTTTTTTTTTTTTAATTTCTAACCCAGAACTCACCTTTATTTACCAATTAGAAACAAGGCAGCATTTTAAAAATGTTCAGTCAGCATTTGATAATGTTCATTGAATGTGTTTGACTGTGTATGTTTTTCATTAATATCCAATCAAAACTTTTTCCAAAAAATATTAATGCTAGAAACAATTTTGATCACAGAAGAGTAACAGGTCTAAATGTAAGTTTAAAGGTTTTTATAACAAATAATGTGTCATAATTAATTTTTCAATTAACATTTTTTTCGTAGACTGAGATCGAAATAACACGCTGAGATATTTGGAAAAAATGAGTTGGGTTGATGACTGTCTCTTATACACATCTAGATGTGTATAAGAGACTTTCATAAATCAGAGGGTTTTAGTAAAATGTGAAGTGGTAAAAATAGAGGGTATTTTTTTTGTCTTTCCG